GGAAAATTTGGATAATGCGAAAGGAATATGTAGCTACTTAGCAATACTCATCAAATAAAATCAAAAGATTGAAAAAATACGTATTGGTATAACTGAAACATGTGAGGCAGGCTTGTGTATGGCCTCAAAGGATCAGGGGTTGTTACTAGCCGCACCCCAGATAATCAACATGTCATACCTAAAACCCCACTGCTAGCTATCCCACCCTAATCAGCAGCTAGGGAGGGGTAGATTGCTTTGCATTTCAATGAAGGAATATGCTCAGGAGCTCTCAAGGTCTGTGGTTCTGGTCTTGGAGTTTTTTGTTTGATTCCCTTCCATCATGTTCTAGTACTGTTGTCTTAATTTTTCTCCTTCTGCTATTTGCTACTCCCAAGAAAGACAAAAGGGTTGGATTCCCAGAGGATCCAGTTGGCAAAATTTGAGAAAAAGGGAGGTTACTTGGGGGGTGGGGGTGGGGGAGTGCATAGATGCCTTGGACAGTTGACAGAGAAACTCTGAGTGTCACTCTGTGGCATTCTCGGCCTTGATGGCTGTTCTGTCCCAGCTATCTGCAACTTGTCCCTAGTTGGGTTGCAAAAGATATTTCTATTCCTATACGAACCTCATTTGTTTAGTCTACCTGAATCCTATTCTTGCTCCTAGGAGGCTCCAGGTTCTGTTAGGTAGAGAAACATAGTTCAGTCATGTCACGATGCATTTGATTTGACTTTGCTTTTGAGCATTGGGCGAATCAAACCTTGTGATTTGTAAACAGTTGTTTTTCCCTGGGATACTAAATGAATCTAGTCTCAACTTATGACCATAATTGAGCCCAAAATTTATGTTGCTAAATGAAACATTGAAGTGAGTTTTGCCCCATTTTACAACCTTTCTGGCCACAGTTGTTAAGTGAACCATTGCAGTTGTTAAGTTAGTAACACAGTTGTTAAGTGAATCTGGCTTCCCAATTGACTTTGCTTGTCAGAAGGTCATAAAAGGGGATCACATGACCCTGGGACACTGTGACCGTCATAAATAGGAACCAGTTGCCAAGCTTCTGAATTTTGATCATGTGACCAAGGGGGTGCTGCAATTTTCATAAGTGTGAAAAAAACGGATAAGTCACTTTTTTCAGTACCGTTAGTAACTTTGAACAGTCACTAAATGAACATTTGTAAGACAAGGACTACCTTTGGGTGATTCAGTAATCCCAATTGTGGCTTAGTGCATTGTGTCATCTCAGCCAATGACTTGCCAAAAGTACATCTACCGGTAGTAAATATCGTGGTAAAACCATAAATTTGGGGAACTGTTTTCCAAGTTCAAGTCTAGAGGCAATTCTGCACTACCCTTCTCCATGCTGATGCCAGCTGAACTATAAACCAGTTTAAAGAAATTCTATGCAGGTTGGGACACTTCAGCAGCAACTTGCCAGGAATTCAGTCTGGACTATTGGCTGCTATGCACACTCTCTCACCCCCAGACAGTTTCCCTGTTGCTGTGCCCTCCCAGCTTCCCATGCCAGGAAAGCAATTGCCAATCGCTTTATTTTCCATGGGCGGGGGAGGGGAGAACCAAACAAAAGCTGAGACAAATGCAAGAAAGAAGCTATTATTTCACCAAATCGCTGTTTAGATGTGCTTTCTGATACGTTAACTTTAAAAACAGTTTTCAAAAACTATATAATTAAACAAAAGCAAAAAGTTATTTTGAAAATGGGGGGAAAAGGAAACTACCCTAGTGAGAGTAGCATGCAGATCCAAAATGGCACTCAGAAACCTTCTTAATGTTAAGCACACTTTCCCAGTCCTTCCCCATTTCTCTTCAGCCAAGTCCCCCTGTCAAGAATGCCATAAGATCATTCTCAAGGTAGCTGTTGATGGAAGAGGAGTCTTGCGTGGTAAAGTCTATGCTCTATGACAGCATTTCTCAACCTTGGCAAATTGGAAGATATGTGGAATTCTGGGAGTTGAAGTCCACACATCTTCCAATTCACCAAGGTTGAGAAGCACTGGTCTGCTTTATGAGAAGGGTATCTTCAAGAGCGTAAAAAGCCTCTTCTCATATAAGTGTAGTAATGCCTGGGACAGCCAATTAATTATAAAACAAAAACACTGGTTAGTTTCACATCTTATGAAGGTTATTTAGACATAGCATGTTGAGCAAGCCTTATTCAGCAAATTATGATTTTAAAAAAATGGCTTAGCACAAGGTGTGAACTAGGATAGAGACTCCCTAATCACATTATAAAACCATCATCTTTCAGCAGCAAATTTTGCTTCTGTCATCATTCATATTTCTTTCCCCATGATTTGGGTTAGCTCCCCACCTACCTAATTTTGCTTTTCAAAGCATCCAACCACTCATTTTTTCCTTTTTTTTAATGTGGTTTCGAATTGTGGGGAAGCTTTTGGTAATATTATGTCTCCACTCAGACACTACACTTAACTAGATTACTAAATAAGCCCATTTTCTTGGTTTGTACATACAATCCCTTGAATCATGGTCAGGATTCAGTGCTAATAGAAAGCTAACCAAGGAAAAAACAAATTGCAGCATGTTAGGCTTGTATCTGACTTAGCTAACCTGAACATAATCAGTGGATGTCAACCAACGGGCATCAATCAGAGCTACTTTTTCTCACAAATGTAAGCCATTCCTCAAACTCACTTTATTTTTCTTCAGCATTAAGCTTGAAAGCAAAAAGATTATTTGGGCTGAATGAGGCAGAGATGCATTCACCACCTTGTTTAGTTAGCTGCAAGTGAGGAAAAACATATGAGACCTAGAGAAAAGAATTACAACTACAATGTGGTTGGTTTGATTTGGGCTTATATACCATGTAAATCCAGTCATTGTGGTTCAGCTAACCGCAACTTCATTTCATTTCCTCAGTCTAATAATAGCCTACCTTGTATACATTTAATTACTTAATTGCATTTTATGATGGTGAACCACAGGCTTATTGCTCCCTTTTTTCCCAATGAAGCTCAGCGAAGAATCCATAAGTTTTGCTTTTCTTTTTTTTCTTTTTTTTTTTATTGGAAGTTTTATAAATTTTACAAAAAGACAAAAACAATACAAAACAAAAGACAACATATACAAAAAAGAAACTAAACATTACATATATATAAAACCCCCCCCATCCCCCACCCCTCACAAAAACCCTCCCTTCCCCCCCCTGAGCTTCCCAGAGCAGAATATAGGCTTAATTAAAAATTAAGAAATAAAAATAAAAAATTAAATTAAAAAATTTATATTTATATATATATATATATAAAATATCTATATATATATATAAAAATAAAACTTATAAAAAAGCTATGTGATATTTTTGTATACCCAATCTAAATTGTATAAATTTTATCCATTTGTCCCAAACAGCAAGGAACTTCTCTTGCGTTTGTTGCTTTAAGAAGGCCGAAATCTTTGCCATTTCCGCCAGATAAGCTACTTTAAGAAACCATTCCTGCAATGTAGGCAAAGATTCCTTCTTCCAATATTGTCCTACTAACAGCCTAAGTTTTGCTTTTCTTAAACTACTGTCAGCCTTGTCACCTCATCCCAGATAAACTGTTGTTAGTCTTAAGCTGTGGTTGTTGAAATAAACCATGGTAAAATGTATGCACTGAGGCTTGTCTCAGATTAGTATCAGATGATATCTTAAGTAGTAAATCAAAACTGTAACTTTTTAATCCCTTTGCAGCTGCATTCAGGGAGAGAGGAGAACTTAAGTTGCAGAAGTATTTGTCCTCAAACTAATACAGGTTTAGATAGTAGATGTGTCTCAACAGAAGGAATAGATCAGAAATGAATAAACCACAATATAACATAGAGAGAGAGGCTTACTTTAAAATTCCAAAGGAAAATCCTGCTTGAGCAGAGTGTTGGACTAGAAAACGTCCTTTTCCCACTCTGCCAAGCTGTGTTCTGTATACTAAAATTCTTACATGTATTATTTATTAGCAAAATGTCCATAATGGTTATAGGTGCTGCATACTTGGAGGAAGATCCTGCGAAATGCAAGAATGTTGTTGGATATATTTCATACCCATGTAGACACTCTCTCGCTGTGTATCCCCCCCACACCCTATTCCACCCCAGTGCAGCATTTTGCATTTCTCAAAGCAAACAATACATGCTGGCTGTTCCTTTCTAGAGGAAGAATTTAGCCTAGATAGGGACTATATCTGTCTGCTTACTGGGATCAGCCAGGCCCCCAAGAATTAGGCTGATTTTGTATTTATGTGAATCAATGTCTTATTCTGATCATAAGTATACTTTAATAAAACATAAGAAGTAGAATTGCCCTCAATACATGACAGCTAATGCTTATACTTCTGGAAGGCACCAAGCTGGGAGTATACCTGTGTGTTGTTTTCTTTTTCCCTTGGTGTGGGGTCCTTGGTGCTCTCTGAGCTTGGTGGTTTTCTTGCAGATGTTTCATTACTAAACTAGGTAATACTATTAGTCCTTGTAAAGTTAACAGTAAATGGCCCGACCAAAGGACCTCCAAGACAATTCCCACCCACACTGAGGGCACTAGAATTTAAATTGAGAGCAAACCCCACACCTTACTAGCACTGATGATTTTAGCTAGATTGGTATTCTATATTTGCAGCATTGTTTATATTCTTCTATACATTGCATCATGATGTTTATATGATATGAGATTATTAACATTGTATTATTTAGCTGGCATATAGAGAAAGGAAAGGGAAAAATATATCAATGTTAATTATCATTTAGGATGTCAGTATTATAAGCATAAAATTTGTTTTTTTCCCATCCAAATGTAAATATAACACTAAAAAAGAACTGCTGCAACTCAGATCAAATGATCAAATAAATAATAATGGTTTCAGTCTTAAGCTAATTACTTAATATTAAGATCTCCCCTGAACTGTTACTCTGTGTTGTTGTATTTATATGCTGATAAAAGAAAAGATAAAGCAAATTTAAAGTTAAAATACTTAATAAGAAAGGAAAAAAATAAAAAAATTGTCCTGTTTCTGTAGCATCCGTCCCATTCTTCATCTGTGAATTTGGCCTCGTTTCTCCAGTGCGTCGTGGCTTCTTCTGCAATGACAGTAGCATCAGCTACCCACTGCAGCATCCTGAGACCATCACCGACACAGTGCTCATTTCAGCAGGCACCCTGATCTCCTTCCTAGCAGTAAGTCTGGAGGGAGGGAAGGGGGAAAGAATACTAGGTCGTTTTCTACAGCTCGTGACTATGGAATTCCCATAGCTCAAAGAATTAACTTTGTAATTAGATACATTTCCTTCACCAGGTTCCCCTACTAAGCATAATGGCCTCTGTATCCTTCTTGAAAACCTCCAGGTTTTCAAGAAGAGATTGGATAGCCATATGTCTGGAATGGTATAGGGTCTCCTGCATGAGCAGGAGGTTGGACTAAAAGACCTCCAAGGCCCCTTCCGACACTATTATTCTATGTTCTCTTATACCAATGCTCTGTAGTTTTTTCATTAAAGATGGATCCCCCTTTTCTCTTTCTCAGCGCATATCCCATATCCCATTACCTAAGAAACATTTATTCTCCTATCTCTTACTTCCAAATTTTAGAATTGCTTGTAGACCAACATCCCTGTTCTTTCTTGCAGATCACTATAGGCGAAATCTTCCATGTACATTGTCTGCCTCACAGATCACGCTCTACAATCTCCAATCCTTATGTGACTGCCCTCTATAAAGAAATTGGGGCCTTCCTTTTTGGCTGCTGTGTGGGTCAGTCCCTCACTAACATGGCAAAGGTTGCTGTAGGTCGCCTCCGTCCACATTTTCTGGCTGTCTGCCAACCTAACTTCACTCACATTGTCTGCACTGCTGGATACCTGGAGGACTATATTTGCACTGGTGGCCGCTCTAAGGAAAAGGAGGCCAGGTATGTATTGTGACAATCTCTCGATGCCCAGCCCCCCAATGGCGTATTGACAATGAGTCACAGAAAAGTGATAGATTGTGTGTATTTTTTTATTCCTGTTATTTCACAGGCATCATAGCCAAGCTGCGTGCTTGTGAAAAAGATTCATGGACTGAATCTCCCTGTCCCATTTTCCTTCTGATGCTGCATGCAGCAACCTTCCTTGATCTGATGGCCTCCAGCAAAGTTAGTTTCCAACCCAGGCAGTGTGTCAGACTAGCCAGAAAAGATAAGAATTGTGTAAGTCTAGCTCAAAGGTGTGCAAAGTGAGAGCAACCTGCAGGTCCCAAGTACCTTTTAGTAGGCCCTGGAGTCACCAAAAAGTTCCCCAACAGAAACAAAACAAAAAAAATCTATTAATGTGTGCAACTGCAACCTCAAAAGCTTTAAAAAAGCATGACTATCAGCCACAAAAATGTGCCCATGCTTGATCTGGACTGTGATGGAGAACAAACTGGCTCCAACTTCCAAAGTGACACAAAGAAGTTGTCTAACTACAGGCATAAGTGCCGGATATCAGTCTGAATTCAATTTACTCACTGCTGCTACTCAGGTTGCTGGTTCATCTCTCAAGCTGGAATAGGTATGGAGGGCCCCACTGGCTTTATCATGGAATGTAACCTTTGGAGGACAAGAGAGAAAGAAGGACCTGAAACCTCAAAAATGAGAAAGTGAAGCCAATATATTAGGGTACATCTCTAAATCCAAGAAAGAGAACGATTTTGATGTAATAAAGAGAGACAGCCACTTTCTTGCCCCAAATGGCAAGTTTTGTTCACTCAGACTACTGAATTAGATGGACAGTTTCAAGGAGTGGCAAAATGTTTGTCCATGCCCGTGGAGAAGGATGTGAGTGGTATATCCCTTGCAAGAGACAAAAATCCAATGGAGCAGGAAGAAAAAACCTTGGATTTCCCATTCTGCCATACTCAGTCTTGCAAGTTCCAGCCAACAAGGTAGAAGGCAATTCTTATGCCATCCAAGGCTTATATTATCTTTGGGGAGTAGGAAATCTCTTTTCTTTGTTTTACCATTGTATGTTTCTCCTGATCCGACGTTCAGCCTTCTCCTCTGCCATTTCCATTAATCTCTTTATTTTATTTTATTTTATTTTTAAAATTTATAAGCCGCCCCACTCCTGAAGGACTCTGGGCGGCTAACAATAAAAAACACATAAAACATAACAAACAACAATACAAAAACAATCATCCAGGGGTAAGGTTTTATAAACCCCAGGCCTGCCGGAAAAGCCAGGTCTTAAGTAGCTTACGGAAGACCAACAGGGTGGGAGCAGTCCTAATCTCCGGGGGGAGCTGATTCCAAAGCGTGGGCGCCATCACAGAGAAGGCCCTCCTCCGCGGCCCCGCCAAATGGCACTGCTTGGTCGACGGGGCCCGAAGGAGGCCCAGCCTGTGGGATCTAACCGGACGTAGGGAACTATGAGGTAGTAGGCGGTCTCGCAATTAGCCTGGCCCTGAGCCATATAGGACTTTAAAGGTAATGACCAACACCTTGAATTGGACCCGGAGACCAATAGGCAACCAATGCAGCTCACGGAGGATAGGTATAACGTGGGTGTATCGAGGAGCACCCACTATCACTCGCGCGGCTGCATTCTGGACCAACTGTAGTCTCCGAATACTTTTCAAGGGTAGCCCCTCTTCTGGTTGTTCCTGCTGAAACATATTCCACAGATGTGTTTCATGTAAGTTCTGGAGGATGTCTGGACTGAGGAGGTATAAGTTGGAACAATGATGAGCAATTAATCCAGTCAGAACTAGAGGCTTATGCAGTTCGGTCTGTCATTATCTCAGCCTCAGAGGAAGACTGGGATCAGATTTCATTTTAGAAGCAAAAGAAACATGTGCAGAATTTATCTTCTACCTGCAGTTTACCTCTTTCCAACTTCTCTGTTCTGTTCCTATCTGGCTTTCTCTGATTTGAATAGATTTGCTGTCTGCTTACTCATGATGGAAGTGGAGGAGACAGAACACTTTAAAAAAACAGGGAGGACTGATAAATAAAATGGATCAAGTGAAGCTTCTGTTAGAGAACAATATATTTATTGTATTGCAGTTTTATTGTTAGCTTGACCCAAAAGCTACAGTCAAAACTGACTTCAGCCTTCACTGGGTATCAAGCTTGCAAAGCTGGCAAACTCAAGAATCTCTTGGATTTCTGGAAAAACCTTTGTTGCTAGAGGGGTAATGTATCAAAGTCTCAGAAGCCTATCAAAACACTTCTCCAGATCAACTTAAACCTAGCATAATTAAGATGGAGTTACTCTGAGTCTCTTTCTCATATTTCCCCCTTTCTCTATATGTTCCCAGGAACTGTCAGATATTTCAACACATTAAAGCTATTTTATCTGGGCTATAGAAATCTGGATGCCCACTAAATGGCACCCAAGAGAACTTTCTGAAGCCTTCGTTGTATAATCAAATTAATTTTGGCTCTGTATAATCAAATTAATCTGTGTTCGAATTTTCAGCCCAATAAAAGTTATGAGCATGTAGGTCTCTCTAAAACACGGGTGTCACATAACGTATTGTGGCATATTGTGACTTTTTTGCCTTTGTGGAGCCGGGGTGGGTTTGGCCTGTGCATGATGCATCTGGTCTGTGGACCACCCGTTTGACACTCCTGTCCTAAAATAATATATTTTAATTGCATTGAGTTCTGAGGTACTTATGATTAATATTGGTGGGATTGGAGTTTTTCAGGATAGCCATCAAATCATGAAAAGAGCATCAGAAGAAGGTGGTTTAGTTAATCAGATTAAGGTTGTGCAATGATCAAATTGCATGGATTTTGTGGTTGGCGTCAGTATATCAAACTAAGCAGTACATATCATGTCCTCTTCAAAGAAATATCTTATTTTCTCTTCCAGAAAATCCTTTTACTCTGGCCATGCCTCCTTTGCCATGTATACCATGATGTACTTAGTGGTAAGTTCCTCTCTTCAGGTTTACAGAAGTGAAGTTTGGGAAGAGGGCAGATCATCACACTACATGAACCACAGAGAAAAGGAGACAGACTCATGCAGGCGGCAGCCCATTGTGGTAGCTGCTTAAACATAACCCAGTGGAGAAACAGCCTGGTGACACTGGTACAAGGTGCTCTCTTAAAGCAAACACCCTCAAGCTTTATACTGGTGTGGGAAATACAATTGGAAGATGTATCATCTGAAGAGTTTGCTTTATGGAGTAAGTTCCTCAGAGTTTGTTTCATTTTTGCCTGTGTGAATGGCAGCCTTCATAGCAACACAATCCTTCTAGATAGCAGAAAATTCTAGAGACTAGTAGGAAAAAATATTTGGTACTGAGTTAGCAGGCAACCTGAAATGTATTTTGTCTGATCTCTTCTTGCTTCAGATTCTGATTTTAGCTTCTGAATTTTCACTGGCTAAATACATTGAAAGCATATTTTCATTCCTCTTCCAGAGAAGGGAGATAGGTATTCCCTGCTTTTAAAAAATTAATACAGAGTAAAAATTAACAAGAATTAATATTTAAAATGAAGGAGAAATGAAGAAAGGAGCAGAAACAAAGGTGCAGTAATCAAAGAAAAGGAAAAAAGAATTATAAAGAAGTGACCTGATTTTTTTTTACAACAGTTATAAGAATAAATACAAAATAACCTCTTACTCTGTGTTTATAGCATTGTTTACATTTTCTATATTATTTTTATTCTAGTACTCAAACATCATTTTTTCTATTTCCCACAAATAAAAGGTTTTGAATCATCATTATATTTAGACATTTAAATTTAAAGCAGTCAGTTTGGCCATCTCAATAAATTCCATCTTCACCATCCATTCCTTCACTGTTCATAAAATCGAATCTTTCCTCCTTTATGCATATAATAATCTTGCTTCAGTCATCATATAAAAAAACAAGGTTCCATATTTTTTTCCCAGCTGCTTATCATTCTATCCGAAAATAGAATGGCTTTAATTGTATATGAGTCTCTGTATTATTATATCTAATTGAGTCCAAAATTTCCTGGCTTTTTTTACCCATTCACCAAGCATGATAAAATGTTCTTATTGATTACATTTCCAGCATAGGTTTGAAGAGCTTGGAGATGTGTTTTTTAGATCGGGGATCCCCAACCCCCAGTCTACAGACTGGTACCAATCTGCAGCCCATTGGGACTAAGCCGCACAAGCTGCGAGTGAGCGTGCAAAGCTCCGTTTGTGTAAGTGGCAGTTGTGCGTGCAAAACCATCCCCTCTCCCTCTGCTGCCACTGCTGCTGGTTTGCAGAGCTGGAAAGGTTGGGGACTCCTGTTCTAGATTACTACCATGAGCTCTCTTGTCTTGAGGCAGATCTATCCACAAACTTCACTGATTTAATATTCATTGTCTCCTCCCAGAAAACTTTGGAACTGAGATTTGGATGGAAAGCTAGGTATGCAGAACTTAATACCCCTCCCAAATTGCCATTTCCATTATGGAGAAAAACAGCAAGACTGTCTGATTTATAGTATGAATTTGCAACATAAATGGTTAAACATAATATGAAACAAAATAGCTATACTATACAGCCCAGCCAATTTTAGCGAATTCATTTTGAAGTTGAGATGTGAGTTGTTTGAGGAAATGGAAATGGACCAGGCCATAAGCCTGAGACCTTTTTCTAAAACTGAGAAAGGGGCTACCTCCTCCCACAAAAACGGACTCAGAAGGAAATTCTGAGCCCTTCCTCCGGAGCGGGCGGCAAAGAGGTGCCCACTTGGAATGCCCCCATCTCTGCTATTGGAAAAGAATCTTCCCAATAGGTCCAGTATACAGTTTTCTGAAATCTGTCACTGTCACTGTTGTCATCCTATGCAGGGGATCTACAAAATGTAGCACGCTTATGTAGGAAAGAGGGCAAGTGAGGAGAAGTGTCCACTACTCTCCCACTGCTCCCCTCACATTTGTGTTGCTCTCCATGTGTAGAAGGCAGTTATGAACAACTAATTTTCAAGGCAATATGAAATCTGGAAAATTTTCAATTCTGCATCAATTGTCTAACTTTATTTTTTAAAAGTTGCCATTAATTGTTTTTACAGCTGGAAAATATGGAAGGTGAAAAGGGTTAAAGCTGTTGCTCTCATCCCTGCTTTCCTTTCTCATAATAGAATCTGAAAGATTTCTAATTGCCAGCATGAGGCATCAACTGGTTAATCTATTACGCTAAGCAAAAAAGCTCCATTTATTTGCATTTCCATGCTGAATCTAGCCAGCCCCTTCCTTTAATTTTCCAATTTCTCTGGAGTGTTGCTCTGAGATTCCTGGATCATTGTCATTGCTTCTGCCAGAGTGCAGATTTAAACAGATTGGGGGGGGGGGTGAAATTCTGTGGGGTTTCTGTTTGCTAAATATTCAGTTTCCACTGCTTGTTCCCCAGTTCTACCTGCAGGCCCGATTCACCTGGCAAGGAGCTCGATTGCTACGCCCGCTGGTCCAATTTGTATTACTGATGCTAGCCATATACACGGGACTGACTCGCGTCTCAGACTATCAGCACCATCCATCTGACGTGGTTGTGGGACTGTTGCAAGGAGCACTTGTAGCTTATTGGGTGGTAAGTTACAACCTGTGTTTGTCTGGGCCTCTTTTGCCTCTCTGGCTGCCTTTCAGAGAGTGAGAAGGAGATCAATACCTAACTTTTATACCTGGGAAAATCCTGGAAAAGATAATCAACCAGCAGATTTGCAAGCACCTAGAAAAGAGCAAATCTATTACTAGAAGCCAATAGGAGTATGGTAAAAACAGATTATACCAGACAAAATGTATTGCCTTCTTTGACAAAGTGACTGAATTAGTGGATCAGAGAAATAATGTGAAAACAGTTTACTTAGACTTCAGTAAGATATTTGGCAAAATAGAACACAACCTACTCCTTGGTAAGGTAGAAAAATGTGGGATAGATACCATCGCACCAGATGGACTTGCAAATGGTTGACCAATCACACTCAACATGTAGTCTTCAATGGTACTACATCGAAATGGAAGGAAGCATGCAATGGGGTACCTCAAACTTCTGTCGTAGGTCCAGTTCTCTTCAACATCTTCATAAATGATTTAGATGAGATGATAGAAGGGGAACTCATATAATTTGAAGACAACTTTGGAAGATAGACTCCAGATACAGAAAGACAGACTTGACAGACTTGAATATGAAGGACTGCTTTATACTGTAATAGTAGGACCACCCTGGGAATACTGTGTCGTCACCATGATATAAAAAATAAATTGAGACTGTAGAAAGAATGCAGAGAAGAAGAACAGAGATGATAAGGGGTCTAGAGACTAAACTGTATGATGAACAGTTGCAGGAACTAAGTATGTCTAGTCTAACAAAATAAGGATTAGAAGAAACATGATAGCAGTCTTCCAATATTTGAAGGGCTGTCATAGAGAGGAGGGGGATAATCTATTCTCCAAAGGATCTGAGGGCAGGAGAAGAAGTAATAGGTGGAAGGTTGTTAAAGAGAGATCCATCCTAAAACTAAGGAGAAATTTCCCAACAGCAAAAAGAATCACTAAGTGGAACAACGGCTTGCTTCCAGAGGTTGTAGGTGTTCCTCCATTGGAGGTTTTCAAGATGTTGGACAACCGTTTGCAATGGTGTAGAGCAGGGGTCCCCAACCTGTGGGCCGTGGCCCATTACTGAGCCGTGGCTTCTTAGCCACCGGGCTGTGTGAACGGCTGGCCAGTGCGCTTACTACCCCCACTCGTGTAGCACTGCTCCCAGCATCGTGTGGGTGCTTGCGCCCCCAGCTTCACCTGGGCACTAGCCCTGCCCTGAGTGTTGTGCGGGTGCTAGGCCTGCCTCCAGCATTGCAGGGGTACTAGCCCCCACCTCCAGTGTCTCGTAGGCGCTAGGCCCACCCTGAGCATTGCGCGGGCGCTAGGCCTGCTCCTAGCATCACACACACACTCATGCAACCCCCATTTGCATCACGCACGCACAGGGGGCCCCTTGCCTGCACCTTCCTTTCCCTCTGGGCCGCCAACCTAGAAACGTTGGGGACCTCCGGTATAGAGTCTCCTGTTGAAGTAGAGGGTTGGACTAGAAGACCTCCAGGGCCCCTTCCAACCCTGTTATTCTACGTTCTTTCTGTCATTCATGAGGAGAAAGATCTAAAATGAATTAAAATGTGTTATTTTGAAAGTCCTGTTTATTAGTACTTTTTTCTCTTATACTTCTCAGAATTCACCCTCCAGCATGAGTCTTTGGGGAGTTGATTTTCATTTGTGTGGTGGAGAAAAATCCAACTCTGAAAGGCTGGTTTACCTGTTCTTCCCTTAACATAAACTCTGGCCTTGTTTGCCCAACATAAACTCTGGCCTTGTTTGCCCTTGTTTAATGGAGGTGGGGGCTGCAGAGAAGCATGTTGTGCAAACAGTTATGTCTAATTAGCATTGGATTTAAGAGGTTTACTTTTTAAGCATCTTTAAGTCCTATGTCAGCTTTGACACCCAGACTGAGGGTTAGCCCTCTGATCTGGCTGCTGAAACTAAAGTTGTAGAATAGTCCCCCACCCCAAAAGGGATATCTGTAGGAATGGTGTATTAAGTTTCACATTCCCACAGTCAGATAGGAAAAAAAGGCAGGGAGTGACAGTCTTCCAGCCACTTTTGCAGCAACTGTGAGGATGGTGAAAATTGGTCATTCCTATTTGACTAAACATTGTTGACTGTGCCACTGGAAAAGAAGAGGTGACCAAGTTAGCCGTATTGGGCAGTAGGGAGCCTGTGTGGTGATGATGCTTAAGAACAACTTCCCTTAACTTCAACTGAGGTATTGCCAAAATAAAGCAGGAAATAAGGGCTTCCCTTTGGAAGCTAAAAGAGCAGGGTGGGTCAGGACAAGAAACCAGCAATGATGGGTTGGGTATAATGGAAGATGTAGCCCAGCTGATGTGAAAGTAGACAGATGGGGAAAGCTGCTCTCTAACCTCCATTGTTTTATGTTCTTATATGCAGAGACTGGCCTTATTTATTTTAATTCTATACTAAATTCTATAATGTTCTATACTATTTGATCAAAAATAAAGTGAATCTGTGCAGATTGCGCAAGTTAAGTAAGTGTTATAATTTCCTTTTTATTTTGCATGATCTATTTTTTTTTTTTAGGGAATCCAAGTGATATAGGATATTGGACTAAGATCAGAAACCCAGGATTAACTCTTTATTTGCCTATAAAGCTATTGGGGCCAATTGGTTTTTCTCATCCGGATTCCTCTTACATTGTTCTTGGAGGGATGCACTTGGTGGAGGAAAGGCAAATAAGAAAAACTTACCTGTAGTCGGGTGTACATCCACTGTAAAAATAAAGGAGACCAGCATGATAGTGATAATAAAAAACAATATTGAAAACGGTGATCCAATATATTAATGCCCTTATATAAATAAATGGTGCAACCACATCTAGAATATCTAGGAAGTTCAGAGGAGGGCAACTAAAATGATCAAGGGGGTGGAGCAATTTCCCTATGAACTAAGGTTGCAGTATTTGTGGTTTTTTAAATCTAAAAAGGAAGAGACTAGGAAGGGACATGATTGAGGTTTAAAAGATTATGCATGGTTTGGAAAAAGAGGACAAGACATTTCCCCATACTGGAACCCGAGGTTACCTAATTAAACTGAATCCTGAAAGATTTGGGGCAGACAAAGGCAGGGGGATTACATTACATGTATTTAAACTTTGGTATTCACTAGCACAAGATGTGGTGCTGACTACCAGTTTGACTAGCTTCAAAAAAAAAAAGGTTGGATCAGGAGCTTCCGATGGCGCTGCATTGCCAATGGCGGCTACTTTGTAGCCATCCGTCTGAGATAGCGTTAAAACTGCCGAGGACAGCTGACATCAGCTGTTCCACAGTTTGAAACTTCTTTCCTGGGCAAAAGGAAAGAGGTGAGTTTTTTTTACCCTGAATAGTGGTAGAGCCTCTGAAACCCTAAAGTTTTTTTTGGGGGGTGAAGGGTGAGCTCCCACGGAGTTCAGGGTATCTCCGCTTCTCAGATGCCTTTGTCTCTTGTTGTTTTTGGGACAAAGCAAGACGCCGCTCCCACATCCACAATTAAAGTAAACTGGTGAGTTGATTTAGAAGCGGACAGAGCTGATCAGTGGATTGTATTTTTATGTTTTATTTGGACTTTAACTCTAAAGAATTATATTTTTTTTCTATAGTGAGGGAAAGTAAAATGGCGATGAGAGGCTTTTCCCTTCTTTTTTAAGTGCACAGAAGGAAAGTGAAAGGAGTTTTGTTATTTTATTACTTTTTTATTCTTTTTTTTGTTATAATAGTTTCAGAACTTTTTGGGACTTTGGGTGTTTGTAAGAGGAGGAATATTTCTTCTTCTTACAGATAGAAAAGGGGTTTTTTTCTTTTTGTTTCCTAGTCTTTTGGATTTTTTTAAGAAGGAGGAAAACTTTTTAAAATGGCTTCGAAGCGTCAAGCGACCTCCGCTGTGCCTAAGGTGGCTTCTTCTCCGGCAATATTATCAGCGCAACAACCTAAATCCAGATCACCACCACCTTCTCCGTCTGTACCACCACTTACAGTAAAAGACCTTCAAGATGTCATGGGAAATGTTGTATGTCAAATTAAAGGAGAAATGAAGGAGCTTTTAGAAGAGAGAAATAACATCTTGAGGGAGGATATAGTATTGGCTTTAAAAGGACTTGCTTCTGTTGTTGAAAAGCTGGACTCTCGTATTGAGGATGTTGCAGACAAAGTGGATTCATTGGAGGATATGGTTGAAAATGTGGAAAAAATGGTGGAAACTTCACAGGATGAAATTGTTATGTCTCAGTATAGAGAGATGGAGTTCGCTTTAAGAATCAGGGGTTTGAGGGAAAATATGCAAGAAAATCTGAGAGAGGTGGTGGCAAATGATATTGCTGTGATTTTGGAGAGAGATCCAGAGGAGATACTCAGAGAAATTGAAAAAATATTTAGAGTCAATTCCTGGATTGCAAAGCAGAGAAACTTGCCAAGAGATGTGGTGATTTATTTTAGAAAAAGATCTTTACGCAATGAAATTATACAAGCATTTTACAATAAGAGATTCCAGATTGCTGCTCAGGATGTTATAATTTTAAAGGAGATTCCATCTAAAATTTTAAGAAGAAGAAAGGATTTTGCTTTTTTATCAGATGAACTTAAAAAGTGACAGATGCCATTTAGATGGGATATTCCAATTGGAATTGTGGTGAGTCACGCGGGGATATGTTATAGACTTAATACTGTCTCTAAGGCAAGAGAGTTTTATATTTCGGTCCTGGGAGCGCGCTCATCACCATCTATAATGTTTAAAGCTTTGGAAGTGAAGGAGGGAGAGCAATTGGTTGAAGATGCTGTATCAATGAAAGCTGGAAAATTACAGGCTGAGTTGTTACAGCAGTCTGAGATGAAAGAACAGAGAATGACCCGAGTAGCGCATAGACGAAAAGAAAAGGAGCAACAGAAGAAGGAAATTAAAGAAGGTACACAAGAATTTGCTTCTGAGCCTGTGGGAGGAGCAAGACCTAAGAGATCTTCGTTGGTTCAATCTTCGATGGTAGATCTTCAA